AGGGCTGAGGAAGGGTTGTTGAGGTGGTTCGGACATGTAGAGAGAATGGAGCGAAACAGAATGACTTCAAGAGTGTATCAGTCTGTAGTGGAAGGAAGGCGGGGTAGGGTCGGCCTAGGAAGGGTTGGAGGAGGGGTAAAGGAGGTTTTGTGTGCGAGGGGCTTGGACTTCCAGCAGGCATGCGTGAGCGTGTTTGATAGGAGTGAATGGAGACAAATGGTTTTTAATACTTGACGTGCTGTTGGAGTGTGAGCAAAGTAACATTTATGAAGGGATTCAGGGAAACCGGCAGGCCGGACTTGAGTCCTGGAGATGGGAAGTACAGTGCCTGCACTCTGAAGGAGGGGTGTTAATGTTGCAGTTTAAAAACTGTAGGTTAAAGCACCCTTCTGGCAAGACAGTGATGGAGTGAATGATGGGTGAAAGTTTTTCTTTTTCGGGCCCCCTGCCTTGGTGGGAATCGGCCGGTGTGATAATAAAAAAAAAAAAAAAAATATATATATATATATATATATATATATATATATATATATATATATATATAAATAAATATATATATATATATATATATATATGTCGTGCCGAATAGGTAAAACTTGTCATTAGCAAGAAATTATTTAAAATTAAGTCCTTTCTAAAAGTTTCTCTTATACGTTTAGAGATATATATTTTTTCAATTATGTTAGTGCAAAAATTAATTTTGTACCACAAGAAGCGTAGAAAACTTACCTAACCTAATTATAATAAGCGCAAATTAATTTAGCTTAATCCAACTAAATATATTTTAGATAAGTTAACAATAATTTAATAAACACAGTGAAAATTTTTTTTCGTTAGGTTCAGAATTATTTTTGAGAAATTATTGCGTACAAAAATTTTCGCTTGCCTTATTCGTCAAGAAGAGCTTTACTATTTAAGCCAAAATAGCTTAAATAGTATATTATATATATACTGAATATAATTGTGTTTCGCGTCAGTTTGCCAGACACAACCACAGTTTGCTGATGAAAAAAACGTGTATTTTGTTGTTTACAAAACACTGGATCACTGCTATTTTACCCTCAGGGTAATTGCTCTTGTGAGGTAATTCAGCCATTTTTCGAAAGGTACCTAGCTAAAGGGAATGTTTATTATTATTATTATTATTATTATTATTATTATTATTATTATTATTATTATTATTATTATTATTATTATTTCAGGAAAAGGAGGGCATAATTAGCTTTCTTAGGTAGCTACCAGAGTAATATTGGTTAAAATGGTGACTCTCACTTCTCCAGATAGTGCGGTATGAAATGTAAAAACATGCGGACAGGCTCTAGCAAAGATGCTTCTAGCCAGGCGAAACTTTTATTAGCACGGCGCTGCTCACCCAGGTGAAGTTTATGTAGCACAGCAGCAGTGAGTGACCAGAGACCCGGAGAGACAGTCATGCCCTCCCTCTTCTGTCATCATTTTTGATTACCACAAACCGGATGGGTATGATGTGACTTCAGTCCAAGGGATGAGTAAAGGATTATTACCACCCACCGGATGGGTATGTGGTGACTACTGTCCATGGGATGAGTATGGGACTGTTACCGCCCACATGATAGGTAAGAGGCTCATAATAAAGTTATGAAAACAGTTTATGGAGCAGCATACGGTGCTAATCTCCATTAATATTTCACGGCCAGGTCTCAAATCTTCAAACCACAATAACTTATTGGGTTGAAAGACACGAGGAATTGCATTCTAAACCCAATGCAGAACTGGGACGCCCTAGACACAACTGGAGAACACAGAGTCAACACAGTCGTCTCCGTCTCTTCCAATCTTCCACCAGCAGATATTGGAGAAGGGAAGGGAAACTGGAGTTAATACAAATGTGCCAGATCAGCCAGACTTTAATGATCATGTCTGCTTGCAGGCCGAGGCAACAGCAGTCTGGTTGATCGGGTTGTCACCAGGAGAGTCTAGTGACTCCAGTCCTCCGTTAAAGCATGAATTTAATTTAACAAGGAATACTATTAACTGTAATGTAACGTTTCTTTTGATCTCTTTTACGACCCAACGATTACATTCATTAGTGAGTAAATAATACACTAGTGGTGTACACACACACACACACACACACACACACACACACACACACACACACACACACACACACACACACAAGTCAAGGACCAGGTAATCAGGCTAAGGAAGGAAGGAGGAGAGACAACAAGAAATGACCGTGAAGTATGTGAGGAATTCAACAAAAGATTCAAAGAAGTGTTCACAGAGGAGACAGAAGGGGCTCCAGAAAGACGGAGAGGTGGGGCACACCACAATGTGCTGGACACAGTGCACACAACCGAGGAAGAAGTGAAGAGGCTTCTGAGTGAGCTAGATACCTCAAAGGCAATGAGGCCAGATAACATCTCCCCATGGGTATTGAGAGAGGGAGCAGAGGCGCTATGTGTACCCCTAACAACAATATTCAATACATCTATCGAAACAGGGAGATTGCCTGAGGCATGGAAGACAGCAAATGTAGTCCCAATCTTTAAAAAAGGAGACAGACATGAAG